ATTACAAAGGGTAGTCTCACACACATGCATAAATGTAGTCTCACACACATACATAAATATATAGTCTTACACATATATATAAATATATAGTCTCACACGCATGCATAAATGAAGTCTTACAAACACACACTTACACAAACACTCCACGTTCAACAACTAGCTAGCCCGCTGTAACGACTTTTTCCTTAACACATTTTCGTTCCCATGGCAATATGTCTTTGGGTAGGTTCTTTTCTACAACACTGATCTTCTTATAAAAGTCTATGAATAGCGGCATCTCATCGTAGTTATTGTAAGCTTCAACATCGTCCACGCCATCAACTCCGATAATGTGCTGTTTTTCGGAGGCAACCACGTGCTTTATCTTCTTCTTTGGGAGGATGTTACTTTGTGGGTCAGACATATAGAAAACTTGTATGACACATGAAGCGAGCACCCAAGGGTCATCTTGGTAGCCTAGATTCTCGAAGTCCAGGACTCTCAATCCGACCTCGTTCAATTGGTGTTGTTTGATCCAGCGGCATCGAGACAGGACCACTGTTATATCCCTTCCATAGTCAAGTTCCCATATCTCTTCAATGATGCCAAAGTATTGAATCTTTTGCCCCAATCCATTGAGAGCCTCTATTCGAACGCCGCTGTTTTGGTTCATATATTTACTATCCTTTATGTGGGTATAGTACGTATACCCATTGATGTCATAAGCATTCCAAGATATCACTTGTCTCAATGGCCCCTCCGCCAACCTACTGATGGTAATAGAGTATATGGTTTCTCTAGACGGTATGTTTTGGTCCTTCAACCATGTAGTTAGTCGTTGCTTATGCTGTTTCATGACCCAATCATCCGAACGACCATTTCTCTCTGTCATAATAATAGCCAAGTGTTCATCAATGTACGGTTGCATCAGTTGTGTACTCTGCAAGACATTGTAATGCGTCTGACTCACCTCTTTGTAATCATGGTCGATGAACACTTTTCTACCACTGATGCCCTTCCTAGCCAGCCTACCCTTATGACGAGAATCAGGTTTACCATTCCCTTTTTGTATTTTTAGGTACTCTTGACAGCACTCAATGACTTCTTCAGTGCTGTAACCCTCTATCATGGAGCCCTCTGGGTATGCTCGATTATGCACGTATCGACTTAGAACCGACATGAACCGCTCGTAGGACCACATTTCATGTAAGTAGCAAGGGCCCAGCGCATGTATCTGATGAACCATGTGAATCATGAGATGTGGCATTATATCAAAAAAGCAAGAGGTAAACACATCTCTAGTTGGTTTTGTGTCTCCACCACAAATTCATGTAGGTCACTCAGCTCTTGCTTGCCAATCGTCTTCTGTGAGATCTTTGAAAAGAAATAGCACATGCGGGTGATGGCCATTTTCAAGAACTCTGGCTTTATAGCCCTGATTGCAATAGGTAGAAACACTGTCAGCATCACATGACAATCGTGAGCTTTGCAGTATGTTATTGACAAGTCCTTCATCAACACTAGCTTCTTTACATTTGCTGAAAACCCAGTCAGGACTTTGACCCCCCTCAGGAAAGTGCATATAGCTTTGTTCTCGTCTGATGTTAGGTTGAAGCACGCCGTGGGTAGAGTGTATTTTTCATTAGCTTCAGGTACCGAATGAAGCTGTGGCATCACGTTTAGCTGCACCATGTCTTTCTATGCTTTCATACCACCCTTTGACTTGCTTGTGTCCATCAAGGTAGCAATGAGACTCTCAAAGACATTTTTCCGCATGTGCATAGTATCAATGGCATGGGGACCTCCAAGTCTAGCCAATAAGGCAGATACTGAAACAAGATCGATTGTTTCTTGAAAGGTACGCCTTCGACAGGAGGTGTGCTTCTATCTCTGTTTGTCCCATCCGGATTCTTCTTTCCATAGACAATGCGTATGTTTTTCACCATTCTGTACACGTGTTCTCTGTTATGACGTCTCTCCGGGGGGGTTCAATCTCTGGGGTGTTGTCATAAAATATAAAGAACAATTTGCTGCGGTACTTGTGACTTGTCTTTAAGAAGCATTGGTTCCTTAGGTAAACTATCTTCTTGGATGCATCCAGGTACACCCATGTAGTACCATCCAAGCAAACCAAGCATCTCGTCTTCCCTTTGATCTGTCCAGACAAAGCAAACAGCGCGGGATAATCATTGGTAGTAACACATATTATTGCTCTATATATAAAGTCCTCCTTTCGGAATGCATCGTACATCGACTCCCCATGCCTCCATAGCCTCTCCATTTCTTGCATCAAAGGCTCAAGCAACACATCTATATCAATACCTGGTTGTTTAGGGCTAGAAATAAGAAGAGTGAGGAGAAGGTACTTTCTCTTCTGACACAACCACGTTGGGATGTTGTACATGGTCAAGATCACTGGCCAAGTGTTGTGGTCGCTCATCCTCTCATTGAAGGGATTCATTCTATTGGTGCTCAAGCCAAACCGTATCTTTCTTGGGTCATCGCTGAATTCTTTGTGCTTCTCATCGAACCTTTGCCACTGACTACAATCAGCCGGGTGTGCAATCTTATAATAATCCACCTTGCGCTCATCATCCCACCATGTCATTAGTACGGCTTCTTTAGGGTTTAGGAAGATACGTCTCAAGCGGTCAGTCACTGGCAGGTACCATATTACTAAGGCAAGAATTCTTCTCTGCTTTGCATCGTTGCCTAATGGAGTGTCCTCTGGGGGCTGAAATTCTTGTACCACCTTTTTTGTACCCTTCTTATTCCTCTTTTTCCCCATGGAGGCTTCGTCCTCACCGTAAAGGTCATTGTTCTTATACCGGCTGGCCCCACACCGGGGATATTTATCCAGTGACTTGAACGTTTCACCTCAAAAAATTATACAGTGGTTAGGGCATGCATGGATTTTTTTCAACCCCCATTGTCAATGGACTTATGACCTTCTTCGCTTGGTATGTGTTGGCGGCAACTGAGTTTGGTTGTGGCAGCACCCATGACAGGAGATGCAATAGATCATTAAAACTACAGTCTGACCAGCTGTACTTAGCCTTCAGGATGAGTAGCTCAAACACAAAATGTAGCAATATCCAATGTGTCGGACAACCCTTTTCAACACCATACACAGTCTCATTCGATGCATTTGTCACCATTTCCAAAAATTTTAGACCTTTCGGGCTATTTAGTAAAATCTCTGGTCCAAGGGCTCGAATCATGTCCTCTAAATCATCTTCATCCCCGACACGTGCTCTACCATCATTATTGGCACCACCTTCGTCGTTACCATCCCAACCACCAGCATCACCACTTTATTCATTGCCAAACTCAGAATCCATTCATGCATTAAACTGTGCTGAATATTGGGACAGGGATTCTAGGATTTCATCATCGTATTCCTCCTCATCCTCGTCGTTAACAATAACCGTTTCACCATGATGAATCCACACTGTGTATCATCAACAAATCCTCGCATAATCAAATGTGATCTGATGATAGTCACATCTATCCATGCCATACGGTTCTTGCAATCTTTACAGGGACAAATAATTGTATCCTTATTCTCTGTCAACGTCGTTGCATGCTTCTTTGTGGCTTCAATAAATTTATCCACCTCTTCACGGAAACCTGCCTTGAACCTTAACGAACCATACATCCAAGAGTTCATGTACTCCATCTTTTACAACAACAACAAAACAAACATTAAAGGACTACTTATTCAGATATATATAAAAATGAATCAAATTAATAATTACTTGAGAATAATTGTATATACTTTAGATATATATATATGAATATAAATCAAATATAATTACATGAAGCATACAAACACACCATGGTAGAGAAAATTAATTAATGGCTCATTTATCCATAAATAATTAAAATACATATTTGTTGATTACAATAAACAATTTCAACGACAACAATTAGCAACAATTATATTTTACCCAATATCTTTCATGCAAACCCTAGTCCAATTTCATCAAACACAAATTTACAAAAACGAAATTAATAAAAAAACCAAACCCTAGATCTATATTTACATGCACATAAAACATCCATAAAATTAACTAATTGTTCACTAAAATCAAGAAATATGGACCAAATAAGGGTATGATCTTGTTCCCTTACCTAATTTATCTTAGTACATTCAAAACTTGGGTCTAATTTGTTTCATAAGTAGCTCAAGCACCATAGAAGAGAGAGAAAATAAAACTCTAATTACTCTCTAACCAACCATTAAAACTTAAAAAAATATGGAATAGCATTTTCTTACCTTCTACAACCTCTCCACCAAAGGATTTGAGACTAAAACCTCCCCCCTTAGTAGAGCAATTTTTGGGAGGTGTCCAAGGCCTCCCCATCTTTCTTTCATGGGTTGGAGTGAGTGACCCGAGGAGGAAGAATGTGTTGCATTTTATTTTATATGTGGGTCATTTGTAGGGGCGGCTGGTGATTGAACCGCCCCTACAAATCGAATGTATTTATACGCGGTCATTTATAGGAGCGGCTTAATCACCAACCGCCCCTACAAATAGCAACACCAGGGGCGGCTGGTGATATGAGCTGCCCCTACAAATGGTGCAGTTCTATTTGTAGGGGCGGCTGGTCTGTTTGTAGAGGCGGCTGGTCTCGTGGCTTCCGAGCACGTCACTGTAGGGGCGGCTCCATCACCAGTCGCCCCTAAAAAAATTATCCCATTGCTACAAACCGTTTTTCACATAATGCTGCTATGGCTAGGTCGCATATAAGTGGGATGTAATACAAATGTTGTATTTGGTGTTGCGTGGTTCCTCGTGTCGATAATTTGGTGATTACCATTCCGGAGGAATGTAAGCAGTTCTAATAAAAAAAACGTGTCAATGGCATGGTCGTGGAAAAAAGAGATTATTAGTTGCAGCTGAATTTTGCCTAAATTTTGCATGGTCAATGGCACGGAATGGACTTACGAAGATTCCCTTGAGGCTCGTGGGGTTCTTGCCGGTGCGTTGGCGAACAGCCACGATGACGGAGGCCAGCTAAGGGACGTAATGGCCGGCGTAGCTCTCGCCGGCGATGTAGAAGTCGCGGCCCTTGTATTCAGGGAACCGCTCGAGCCAGTTGAGCAAGAAGATGTACGAGTCCACTGCTATCGACCTGTCGCCTCTTTCGTCGTAGTCCGACGACGTGTTGGAGTAGGAGAACCCGACTCCGACCGGCGACTCGAGGAAGATCACGTTGGCCACTGCAAGTCATCGTTACTAGCTCAAACTAGCTTGCAGTAGTACTAGTACCAGGCCATATCGTAAGTCTTGTACATGAACATGTTAGCAAATAGGTGACGCACCGTTGTTCCAGGCGTCCCTGTTCCTGCTCAACGTCTTGCCATCGGGGTTGACACGGAACGGGCCGAGCTCCATCATGGCGCCCCATCCCAGCGACGAGCACCCTGGCCCTGCTTGCGCGCGCGTGCAAGAAGAAACGCAACTTATTATCGCAATTCGCAACCAAATCAAATGCCAAAACATCCTCTGCTTATTACCTCCGTTGAGCCAGAGGACGAGGGGTTTGGAGGCGGCGTCATAGGGGGGCACGACGAAGTAGTAGAAGAGCGCGCGGCCGTGCTCCTCGTCCACCGTCACGTACCCCGCGTACTGCTCGAAGTTGACGCGCGGCGGCTGCTGCCCCGGCAGCGCCGTGACCCTGTCGGCCTCCTTGCTGCCCTTGGGGTAGCTGCAGGACGTGGGCAAGTCACCGAAGCTTCTCACGGGGTCAGCCCATGGGTCGGTTTCGGCAGGCCCGGCTGCGGTTGCTGATTTTGCAGCTTGGGCCTGCTGGTACTCGATGAACTGCGTCAGCAACGCCGCTTGGTAGTCCATGGCGGCGTTCGTGAGCGGTACGGCGAGTAGGATCGCCAGGAGAATGCAGTACGAGATCTGATGATTCCTCGCCATCTTGGTTTGCACGGAGATTAGTCCTCTGCGAGGTCGTCGCTCCGTCGAAATGTAAAGATCATACAGTGTTTATATAGTGGCCAATGCTAAGGTAATAGAGTGTTAGATTTCGTAGGACTCAATCGAGTCAAAATCCCAGTAATCAAAAATCCTAATACTCAATCTACAAAGAGGCAGAGAGAAGGGGAGTGAGAGGTTGCAGACCATCGAAGGCCGTAGTGGTCGAAGCAGTCGGAGTGGTGGAAGCGCCGGCCGCGGCCTCGTTCGCGGATGCCATCTGCGCGCCGGCAGCGACGTTCGGTGGAGAGAGAGGAGTCGGTGCAGTGGCGTCCTTGGCGGCGGCGTGTGCGTCGGGGTGGTGTTGAGCGGTGGCGGCGCCTTCTCAAGATCGGGTTAGGGTTAGGATATCGAGTGGGCACGGTCAACCTCATCATGAGTCCCGGCCCCCACCTTTCGCTTTTATAGATATGTTGCATGACGGGGCCCACCAACCAAGGGTTGAGCGCAGATCGTAGCGAGAACAAGGCCCAAAGGCCATTGGGCCTAATGGCGTGGGAGATCAATCCAACATTCTCCCCTTAATCTCTCATCACTTTCTTCGTTCTTTAATTCTTACTCAAACTTTCGATTCATATTTTCTTACTTCCATCCTATTTCATCAGATTAGTGCATAGAACGTCCCATGCAATTAATGCCGTTACACTCAATGTACCACAATACACTTCTCCGATTCTGAAATGTAAAGGCCTTTCAGTATGTTCGGGAATCATAGGTTTTCCCTTAAACCCATGCCGCTACGTGTTCTCTCGATACGTTGGGTGGTAAACCCTTTGTGAGCCATGAGCATTTTCTCTGCATACTTATATGCTCAAGATTTATTATATGATCCCGAACTTTATATTTCACAACATAGTACTTTATGTCAATGTGTTTGGTGGCACCACTTGACCTATTGTGTGAGCGTCTTTGCCTGTTGGATTGTTATCACAATACAATCTCTTTGGTTCATTTATATTATCAATCACTTTCAATCCGGGTATGACCAATTCATACGCCCGTTGCCTCATAGCATGCTACAAACTCGGCATACATTGTCGAGGATGTAGTTACAATTTGTTTGGAGCTTTTCCACGATATAGCCCCTCCTACGAGAGTAAATACATATCCTGACGTGGATTTTCTTTCTTCTCCCGCATAATCAGAATCTGAATACCCCTCTATCTGCAGAGAATCAGATCTTCTATACGTAAGCATGAGACCTTTCGTACCCTACAAATAACACAGGACTTTCTTCACTAATTTCCAATGTTCAATTCCTGAATTCTTTTGATATCGTCAAGTAAGTAACAAAAGCTAAGTCGTATGCGTACACACTTGAGCATATTGACTGAAGCATATGGTACCGCTTTCGTTCGGTCAATTTCATATTGGTTCTTGGGACACTGATGTTCCCCAAATCTATCGCCCTTGACTATAGGAGCAGGTGAAGGAGTGCACACATGCATACTAAATTTCTTCATGACCTTTTCTATGTATGCCTTTTGCGATAATCCTAAAACCCCCTTTCTTCTATCTCGGTGAATCTCTATTCCCAAAACGAACGAAGCATCACCGAGATCTTTCATATCAAAGTTTGAGGACAAGAATTTCTTCGTTTCCATTAGTAGATTGATATCACTACTAGCAAGCAAGATATCATCCACATACAAAATTAGGAATATATACTTTCCATTCTTGAACTTTGCATAAACGCAATTGTCCTCAACATTTTCTTTAAACCCAAAACCTTTTATCATTCTATCAAACTTCAAATACCACTGTCTTGAAGCTTGCTTCAATCCATAGATTGATTTGTTCAGGCGGCATCCCATATTTTCCTTTCCTTTTACGACAAAACCTTTCAGTTGTGCCATATAAATATTTTCTTCCAAATCCCCGTTTAGGAAAGTCGTCTTTACATCCATTTGATGTAACTCCAAATCATAGTGGGCTACAAGTGCCATTATAATTCTGAAGGAATCTTTACATGAGATTAGAGGAAACGTCTTATTGTAATCAATCACTTCTCTTTGCGTGAAGCCTTTCGCCACAAGTCGCGCTTTAAATCTTTCTATATTCCCTTGGGAGTCATATTTCGTTTTGTAGACCCATTTACAGCCTACTGTTTTGCTCTTTTAGGAATATTTTCTAAGTCCTAAACTTTATTGGTACTCATTGATTTCAATTCATTTTCCATGGCCTTAAGCCACTTTGATGAGTGGTCGCTTCTCATGGCTTCTTCAAATGAGGTGGGATCATGACGACATTCTTACGTTTCATAAACTTCATAGTCATCAGATGTGGCGATCTTCTTATTCTTTGAGACCTTCTAGGTGCCTCCGGCACTTGTTCCACATTGGCTGTTGTTGTTCTTCCTCATGTGCAACATTTGGTTCTATAGGTTCCTCAAGGATAGGTTCCTCAAGGACAGAGTTCCTCATGTTCATTTATTGTCGTCACGGAAGAACTTGCAGCAGTGTTGGCACTACTGATTGTCTGCCATGTCGGTGCAACAACAAAGAGTAGCGTGAAGAATGGTTCTTCAACCATCGGAGTGGGTACATGTACCCGCTTCTCCAGGCTGATTTCTCGTGCTACCATGCTCCTCCCGATCATGTTATCCTCCAAGAACACGTGTGTCTTGTTTCTACAATCTTAAATACGTCTGTCGGGACAATAGAAGCGATATCCTTTCGATCTTTCCGGTGATTGTCTTGGAGTCTAACTTTCCTATATTTGGGTTAAACACTTTTGCCTCGGATAGCCCCACACATAAATGGTTAAGTGAGGGTTCCCTTCATCCATAATTCATACGGTGTTTTAGGCATAGATTTACTTGGTACTCGATTAAGTATGTGAATGGCGGTTTTCTGTTGCCTCCATCCATAAACTAATCGGTAATGTGGAGTAACTCATCATGCTTCTTACCATATCCATTAAGGTAGATACGTCTTTCACCACTCCATTCTGCTTTGGGGCTCCCCGGTGTGTGGAGTCTTGAGCAACTATACCATTTTCTGTGAGGAACCTTGCAAATGGTCCAGAATTTGGCCATATGGGGTATATAAGCCCATAGTACTCTCCACCTCGGTCCGATCGTACTATCTTGATTTTCTTATTGTGCTGATTTTCAACTTCACTTTAAATATTTTGAATTTATCCTATGCTTCCGATCTTTCTTTAATTGGATAAATATTGCCATAACGAGAGTAGTAAATCTGTGAATGTTATAAACGAGTCATAACCATCTACACTTTTCATAGGAAAAGGACCACATGATCTGTGTGGATTATTTCTAAAAAAATGTGCTTCGTTTGATATCTTTCTTAATTTTCTTGACATACTTTCCTTTGATACAATCAACACATTGTTCTAAATCTAAAATTCTAAGTCTTGGGAGAATTGATTCCTTAACCAATCATTCTATTCTCTCCCTTGAAATATGGCCCAAGCGACAATGCCATAATTTTGAAGAGACATAATCAAAAATTCATGTGCTTTGTTTGGCATCTTTCTTAATTTTCTTGACATACTTTTCTTTGATACAATCAACACATTGTTCTAAATCTGAAAATTCTAAGTGCGGGAGAATTGATTTCTTAACCAATCGTTCTATTCTCCCCCTCGAAATATGGCCCAAGCGACAATGCCATAATTTCGAAGAGACATAATCAATTCTCTTCCGCTTCTTAGTTACATTCGCAGATGGGGAATCATTCACATTCTCATCACATACATTGCTCGCATTCTCAGCAAAAGATAATAAATAAAGCTTGTCTTGTCGAAAGGCAAGACCAACACATTTATTATCAACCAGTATCTTACACTTGCCACCACCAAAGTGGCAATCAATTCCATCATCATCAAGTTTCGAAACGCTTATCAAATTTCTACGCAAATAGGGAACATAAAGTACTTCTTTTAAGTCTAAGTACAAAACCATTATTCAATTCTAAAGAAAAAACTCCAATGGCTTCAACATTGGCTTGCACTCCATTTACAACTTTAATCGTTCTTTCTCCTCTTTGCAAGGTTCTCGTCCCACTTAACCCCTGTAAGAAATTTGCAACATGAGTAGTTGCACCTGAATCAACCCACCAAGTGGATTTATCATAACATAAATATAGGGATTTATCTACAAATGTAATAAATTCATCACATTTCTTTAACAGAGATTTCAGGAAGTCTGGACAATCTCACGGTACAGCAGTGGCTGCACTGCACTGCGCCAATGACTCAGCATCCAGCAGCACTGGGCTGATATGAAAATGGTGATCGGCCATATCATGGATCTGCAGAGGAGAATCTATAGCCCTGATCTTATCCCGCATCAACCCTGTCTGTCCGCCAAGACGATCGGCATTAACCACATTCCTCGCCCTCCGCTGAAAATGAATCACACATCACACAGCACATGCCCTGCAACAACGACCCAAGAGACACAACCGGGGGTGCCATGCATATTCCATCATCCTTTTCGGCCGGCCGAGGGGCGACGCCCGAGAAACCAACCACCGTACGTCTTTCCGGCCGGCGCAGACGAGAGGGAAGAGGGTGAAAAGGAGGACAATTATAGGAAGCCGCTGCTGGCTTTCCTCCGCTGATTTGAAGGCCACTGCAGTTTGTCTGCTGGTGGATGTGGGTCACTCCAATTACCCCCCCAGCGTCCGTAGGCCGTACAGGGACGGTGCAATTGTTTTGCATTACAGGATGTGCAGCCCTACACACATGGTTCTATAGTATAGATCTAGCGTCCGTAGGCCGTACAGGGACGGTGCAATTGTTTTGCATTACAGGATGTGCAGCCCTACACACATGGTTCTATAGTATAGATATATAAAACGCGTGTGTAATTGCGTAATGAACTCTAGCTAGTCCCGAGTCAAGGACGCAGTGATCGACAGCTTGAGTGATTGTACTACATCCAATCTGGCAGTTGCCGGTACGCATGGAAAGATGCC